CAATTCTAATATATGGGTAGAGGAATCTTATTGCATTAGTTCTTGTGAGGAGATGTAAAAGTTGTTACAAGAAAAAAAAAACTCAATCTATAGAACTGAGGTCATGAGAAAACTGAAAAGGGAAGTGACAGGATGTAGGCTAGACCCTGGAATTGGCTTAATGTCCTGTAACTAGACTCTCAGAGACATCTGTGAACTGACCTTATTTGAATTCTACAACACAGCATTCAGGAAGCATTTAGACCAGGGAGTTACACTGGCCCGAGAAAGTTGAGGGCAGTGGATGAGGAATGTGTTTATGTAGTGTACAGTCTTCTATGAGCATGTTTTACACTATAGAATGCCCAGATCAATGCGGCTTACCTGGCTTAGGTGAGGGCTTCCTTGGCATATATCCAGACAAGGCAATATCTCATTCTTCCTGATTTATCATCTGCCAGTCTGTGGGGTTTCCTTGAGGGAATCTAAAAGTGTATCTCCCAGGCTGTCATTAGGTTATGTTGCTGAACTTTTTGCTTTGTACATTGATGACACTGATTTTTTTCTCCATCTTTCAGATCAGTGTTTTCAAACAGTATTTATCACAACTTATTAGTCGGTTGTAAAATCAATTTTGTGAGATGCAAATAGCATTGAAAGAAATAGAGTAGGCTAGCAAATGTCAGAGTCCTGCTATATAGAAATGGGGGGGATACAGTTTGTGGTATTGTTATGTTCCAGTATGTGTGTGTATACACACACACACACACACACACACACACACACACACACATTTAGATTGTGGCACACACACATATGTTAAACCATATAAAAATATTATTGTGATCAAGGTCAAAATTTTAGATAAATAGGTTTGTCTGTGACTGAAGGTTTGTCTGTGTGTGAGCTCTGCCAGCCTGAACTACTATTGATTTATTAGTACAGTGGTTGTGCACTCTAAAAAATTCATGTTTTGAAAAGATGATGTGCTATACTGTGTCATTGTTATTGTTCAAATATTCAGGTAGTTAAGAATTTGTGATGATATGACTCACTAGTGAAGACCTCGGAGCCTCTGTAGGTAAAGCAAGCTCCAAGGGGCACGTCTTTGAATTCAAATCCAGGACCAGTGGCACTGAACTTTTTTATTTTATGCACCTGAACCTCCCTCCAGGGCAGTGGATAGTGCCTCATGGTAGAATTTCTTTTCTGTGTCTCAGAGTCCTCCCTCCTAAGGAACACTCCTTCTCACTCTTTCTGAGTGATTCTGTTTCCTTCTTATGGTGTCACTCACCTTTCTGTTCTGGATGCCTCAGAGCCCTACTCCCGTTGAAACTGAGCCCAAGTTCTCCATCTTTTTTGTGACCCAGATCTCTTCCTTCTCAGCGTGACACTGGACACTGCTGTATTTGCATTTTAGCAGAGAGCTGCTGAGTTTAGGATTGTAGATGAAACGTGACCATCCATGTTGTCTGTGAAGAGGACAGACTAACCTGAAAGACCAGAGAGGATTCACTAAGCTGTGCTCTATGACAGACTAAACTGGGCAGAGACAAGAGACAGATACTGTGAAGCAACAGTAGAGTGGATAGATTCACCAAGAAAAATTTCAAATCAGCGAGGAGATTATATACCTCAACAGAAAGAGCAACGATCAGAGCTGCCTAATTGCTGATATGTTGGGACTTGCTGAGGGGGTGTTCCTGGTTCTGTCTGGTACTCAGTTCATTTTGGGAATTCTAGGGAATGGTTTCATTGGGTTGGTCAATGGTGGCAGCTGGTTCAAGAGCAAGAGAATGTCTTTGTCTGACTTCATCATCACCAACCTGGCCCTCTCTAGGATCATTCTACTGTGGATTTTCTTGACCGATGCCCTTTTAATAGTGTTCTATCCCGAAGAACATGATTCAGGGACAATAATGCAAATGGTTGATATTTTATGGACATTTACAAACCACCTGAGCATTTGGCTTGCCACCTGTCTTGGTGTCTTTTACTGCCTGAAAATTGCCAGTTTCTCCCACTCGACATTCCTCTGGCTCAAGTGGAGAGTTTCCAGGGTGGTTGTATGGGTGCTGTTGGGTGCACTGCTCTTGTCCTTTGGTAGTACCGTGTCTCTAATCAATGAATTTAAGATCTATTCTGCCCTCAAGGGAATTGATGGCACAGGGAATGTGACTGAACACTTCAGAAAGAAGAGAAATGAATATTATCTGATCCATGTTCTTGGGACTCTGTGGTACCTCCCTCCCTTAATTGTGTCCCTGGCCTCCTACTTTCTGCTCCTCCTCTCCCTGGGGAGGCATACGCAGCAGATGCAGCAAAATGGTACAAGCTTCAGAGATCCAAGCACTGAGGCCCACAAGAGGGCCATCAAGATTATCCTCTCCTTCTTCTTTCTCTTCCTACTTTACTTTCTTGCCTTTTTAATTACATCATCTGGCCAGTTTCTACCAAAACCTAAGACGGTTAAGATGATTGGTGAAATAATTACAATGTTTTATCCTGCTGGCCACTCATTTGTTCTCATTCTGGGGAACAACAAACTGAAGCAGGCATTTGTGGAGATGCTTTGGTGTGAGCGTGGCTCTAAGGAACTCTTTTTCCCATAGAGTACCAGAGGGCATGGTGTGGAGCCAAGGAGTCCTTCTCCCTGACTCAAGATTGTAGGACTCTTCTTGACCCTCCTATGATACCAGTTCTGTAACAACAGTAGGAGATAAACACTGATTGCTTTGCCCCTGTTCCCACTTGGGGGCCTATTCCAAGGTGAAAGACACATGGCCTCTCTCTGTATGGTTGCTTTTGCAGGGAGTGGGAGGCAGAGAAGTAGTCTTTGGGAAATGTCAATGTTGTAAGAACATTTTCACTGTGTAGATGTGGAACTGGATTTTAATAATCATTAGCTCAACATAATGAGCCTGATTACTAGTTTCAACTTAAATTTGATTCTAGCGATGATAAACAGATGGACTCACAGTGGACTTGAGGGAATAAGCACAAGATTTTCAGTCCTGTAGATGTGTGTTTGAATCCTGGTTCTGCTAGTTTCCTGGTGGTATCAATTTTGGTCTCAGGTGAGTTAGTTACCTGTTTGATTCTCTCTTCCCTCATCTTAAAATGTGGACTATAACATTGACTTCACAGGGTATTAGAGATTCACAAGACAATGTGTACAGGCATTTTAGCAGTGTTGTGTAAAGTACTCAGTAGGTGAAGGCTATTTTAACAGTAACTATAATTGTGCAGCAACAGCAGTTCTTATACATCTCCACAAACGTGTTGTATGGTGATAAAAGCAGTGGAGTGAAAATCAAGATCCTTGGATTCTAGATTTTAATCCAGTCTTGCATTTCATGATCATTTTGCTAAAGTAAATTTTTAAGTAATTGTTTTTGTGTTATTTAGATTAGGCAAAAGTCCAAGCAGTTCTTTAAACCAAACAAAATAAAACAAACCAAGATGCATATCTGGTTTTAAGATTACAATTTTATCAAATATAAGAAGATTTGATAGGTGTATTCTATTTTATTTAAATAGAAATATATAGGCATTGATTTACCTCCTGTTATTGAACAATTTTGACACATCAGTGAAAATATTACTGTTTAATATCATGAAGAATTCTCAAACTTGCAAACATATTTATTTAGGACAGATGGCATTTCTGAATCTGAATATCTAGCACTTAATGGGGATTTTAGGGGTAGAGTGTCGTGGCTAAGAATGTGGACCCTGAAGCTAGACAGCCTGTGCTTAAATCCTGGCCCTGGCCTTCATCAACTGGGTGACCTTGGGGAAACTTCTTAACCTCTCTCTTTTTCACTTTCTTCATTTGTAAAATAGAAATAGTAATAGCATTTTTTTATAGGGCTGTTGGGAGGAATGAGTGAATTAACACATGAAAAGCGTTTAGAGTCTTACGTTGAATAAATAATCAACATTGTTATTGTTATGTTATTTTATGAAAAGGGATATATTTTGACAGTGTAAAGGATCATCACATTCTGGACATATATAACAAGAAATTAATATTAGGATTGCTCTGGGATTTGTTTTCAAATTTAAAAAAAATATTATTTTGTAGAGACAGGGTCTCACTATGTTGCCCAGGCTGGTCTCAAACTCCTGGACTTAAGTGCCCTCTTCCTGCCTCTGCCTCCCCAAGTGTTGGGATTACAGGCATGAGCCACTGTGTCTAGTCCTGTTCTGGGTTGTATATATTCACTTTTAAAATTACAGGAATAAAATGTTTTTTGGTCTTCAGAGTTTGCTTTTAAATTAATACTTGCTTCCTGATGCTGCTAGGGAAATTCCTAATTCTAAATTCCCTTTAGAAAAGGTATCTGCTGAAACTTAAAGAATGATTTAAGATTCATTCATAATTCACTAAGATGTAAGAATGCTACTAGTTCTGAAATTAACAAAAATCTCTGCTTCTTTTCAGCCTTGGAGAGTTTAGATGTGGAAGTCTGTGCTGTCTTGATTGACATCTGCTTTGTCCACCCTGACCCCCTGCTCTTTAACTCAACCTCCCACTCTTGAACACTTGTTCCTCCTATTTTCTGTTACTTCAACAAATTCTCTGCTTATGGTCCTTTAACCCTTACCTGAACTCCTGATCTGCCTATTAGTTCAGATGTTGGGCTTTTCCTCCCTTTTCATCAAGCATAATATCTCACTAGAGGTTTTGGCTGGACTGTTCTTTGGCTCTTGGAGCCTTCAGCTGACTTCTGTGGTTGTCTCTCCTATTCCCATTGTGGCATCAATAAATCCTTTCTTAACCTAATAGGTTCAGATATGGTACAGTGAACATGCTGACGTTACCACTACTGTTCATTTTATTGGCATCTGTAGTGTGAGTGGAAAGTACAGAATTCCCTGAGGGAGAGACTAATGTAGTAGCCCAATTTGTTCCTTGAGAGAAAATGTGGCACTTCCACGTCGTCCATTTCCAACTTCTCTTCCAAAGAAATTTGAAGGTGACTCCTGGAAAAGCTAAGACTTTTTAATGTGACTTCAGTCATATGGAGACTGCCATTAATCAAAGTTGATGGGAGTAGGGCACAGGTCTGGATGGTGGGTGACTTACTGAGGAAAGGACTCTTACCTGTTGCTAAAGGTACAATAGTGGGAAGTCTATTTTGGAGAGGATACAGGTCTTCTAAATCCATCTGGGGGAGTACTTCATCTGACAGCTCCTCACTGGTTCCCAGGGTAGGGGACTGACTTATTCAATGCTTTAGGCCCAGTTTTGAGAAACAGGAAGATGTATCTTGTTTGTTTTGTTTTGCTTTAAATTAATTAGCTTCAGTTGCTAAATCCCTTAAGATTCTTAAGTCTAGTTGTTTCATGAACAAGGGGCCAAGGTGTGGCTTTGCTCCCCTGTGGCTTGGTACCTTGGATCAAAATATGGTGATATCCTGCAGATTGTCTGCATTTGGAGTCCAATTACATGATAGAGCTGGTTTCCAAGGCCCTTGTTTCTTCCAAACACATCTATTTTTTGATGTATTGCTGGGAACCTAAAAGCAAACTTATAATAGTAGTTCATGAGACCTTCCACCTTTTCATCAGGGACCCTTATGTTCTATGTTCCATGGGACTACTCATTTTTATTTTTATTTTTATTTTTTTTTATTATTTTTTGAGTTGGAGTCTCACTCTGTCGCCCAGACTGGAGTGCAG